TTTTTCATTTATTTTGTCATTTTGTTCTTGTATTGTCTTTCAAAATTGTTGTAGGGTTTTCTCTGTGTTTTCTTCAATCTTGTGTTTTCCTCTGTCTCTCAATTCATTGAAGATACCTGAATATAATTCTTTCGAATTCCTTGTCATGGAGTTCCAATGCTACGTCTTCCTAAGGGATGTGTTTTGGGTCTGTATCCTGGTCCCTTGCTTCTCCTGCTTTCTCTTGCTTCTTTGTGTGAACTGTGATGCTCTGTTGTCTCCGAGGCATTGTGACATTTTTGTGTTTATATTTAATTGGTGATTGTATGTTGGAGTGACTTGCCCATGATTTTCGTTTGTATGTTATCTATGCAAGCAGGGTGCTGTGCTGTGCTACTCAATTCACTAGTTGACAACACTTATACACTCAACACCTGTCTCCTTTCCTGTTGTCAGCCTCTCATATGTCCCTACCGACCTTTGCAAACAGAGCCTATTCTTAGGTTCCTGGAATCTGAATGAGAATGCTGTCACTTTAAAATCCAAAATGTTTGCCACTTGTAAAGATTCAAAATGCTTGTGCCCTCGGTCACTTTAAATATCCAAAATGGCTGCCACGTGTAAACAATCAAAATGTCTGGGCCCTCCAAACAGCATAAAGTCAACAGCTCAGGTTGTGTCCCTCCTTGCTATTTCCTTTCCTAGTCATAGGTCACCAGCACACTCGTCCCTGCAGCCCTTGGTGACCATGGCTGATCTTTAGGTCAACTCTCAGGTCCCAACACCAGTTGGAAATATTCAGGCTGTTGGTCCTGTCAGAGTAGCTGACAGTCTGCAGCTCCGACTGTCTCTGTACTCACTGTTTTTGTTCAGGTTTTTCCACTAGTTGGTGCCTAATTCACTTCTGCATAGTTCCTTTCAAAGCTCAGGGCTCCAGGATTACCTTCTGTATCTCTGTCGATTGGTTTTTCTTTTCTTTGTTGAAGAGGGTCTGTGTCGCTTGTCTGACTATTCCTCCATCTTACCAGAAGTCCCCAAGCCTCTTTCTTAGTTTCTGGTGACTATAGGGATCCTTGGCGTCCCTTGGCTTGTATATCACTACAATATCTGCCTCTGTTTTCATCTGGCCATCTTCCCTCAGTGTCTCTCCTCTTTATAAGGAGCCCACCCATATTGGGTTAGAACCAGGGCTTTGAACCAATTCATTCCAGGTCAACCCCTTGCTGAGAATTTGCATTCCCATTCATGATAGACTGAAACAGAAATGAGAATTCAGTCTATTTGAGGTGGGAAAGCAAATTCTCAGCAAGGGGTCAACTTGTAAAGATCCAGTTCAAAGCCCTGGTTATAACCCACCTTATGTCATAACACCTTCAAAGGGCCTATTTCCAAACCAGGTCATGTTCACTGGTGCTGGGGATTAGGACTCCAACATATCTTTTTGGAGAACACAATTCATAACACCATCCCTTTCATCCTCACCCCCACCTCCATTTGGTCTCCATTCTTGCTGTCAACAGGCTGCCAATGGTTCTTTACCGAGTTATTGATATTTAATAGATTACATGATACTCTTCCTTGAATCACATCCATTTTTCAAGAGGACTACAAGTTGTTGATTCTTACAAAATATTTTAAGTTCACTCTGTCAATCAACCAGAATAGTTACAACCAAGCCTGTGCTAGCTGGAGATCAAATGCACAGGCCCTATCAGATTGCTTGGGTTCAAATCTCTAGACTTCTTTGTTGTGTGATCTCAGGCAAGTTGTGAAACCTCTCTTACCCTGATGACTTCATCTATAACATGGGGCTACAGATGTCCCCTACTTTATCCAGATGTTGTATTAAATGAGGTAATCCATGTAAAGCATTTAGCACAGATGTTGTATTGAATGTGATAATTTCTTAAGGCACTTAGCATAGGCCTGGCCCACAGTTGTTCAGTAAAAGCTATTATCATTCCATCCTTTGCATTGGAATGTACTAATTTCCTCATAGAGGCAAATACTTGAAGTGCAACAGTCTTATTTCGTTGCCAGGATGTGTCACTGGGTCACACAGAGAGAACCAGAGTGGGTTGAGTGGATTCATAGCAATCCTATATGACAGAGTAGAACTGCCCCATGGGGTTTTCTTGGCTTGATCCTTATGAGGATATTGCCAGGTCCTTCTTTCTCTTGCAGAGATGCTGGGTAAGTTCAAGCTACTGACCTTTCAGTTAGCAACTGAGTGCTTAACCGTTATGCCACCAGGGCTCCTTGGGGAGGGGATTAGAGAGGCAGTAAAACACCTGGGGTCTAGCTTTCCGTTATTTGCTGAGTGATCCTGCAGAACTCACTTAGTCTCTCTGGGCCTCAGTTTCACATCTGTGAAATGGAGGGGATGGGGCCAGGAAGGGATTGTCCAGGGTTGCAAATTCCAATGTCTATAGAGGCCAAACAGGTAATGCCACTGGCCGCTTGAGCTGGGTATAAGACTATACAGAGTAGTGGGGATTATGGTGCATTGTAGTCCTTTGCTACTCAAAGGGTGGTCCACTCATCAGCAGGATTGGTATAACCTTGGAGCTCCTTAGAAACAGCAGAATCTCAGGACCTATCCCAAAGCAAAAAAATACCAAAACCATTGCTGGTGAGTCAATTCTGACTCACAGCAACCCCACAGGACAGAGCAGAACTGCCCCATGGGGTTTCCAAGGCTGTAAATCTTCATGGAAGCAGACCGCCTCATCTTTCTCCTGTGGAGCAGCTCGTGGGTTCAAACTGCCAACCTTTTGGTTAGCAGTTGAGTATTTAAACTACTGCACCAACTCACAGTTAGCAGTCAAGTGCTTTAACCACTGTGGACCCAGCCCAGACCTACTGAAACAGAATCTGCCTCTTAACAAGATCCCCTGGCTGCACACCAAAGTTTGAGAATGTTGCTGTGAAGTACAAGCCATTCAAATTTAGTTGTGTGTATGTTTAAAATGTCAGCCAAACAAAACTGTCTTTGGGCTCCATCAGGTCTTAGGCTGCTGGATGGTCAATGTAGTTGGTGAGCTCTATGGTGCTCTGGTCTAGGATCCCCTTAGGCAGACTTGTCCCTTCTGGGTTAGGCTCTCTGGGTTTGTGATACCTAGCAAACACCAAGCCAGGGTGGTTTAAACAGTCATTCCTGGAGTGGCCTCAAGACATCATTTGCTCTGCTCCCTGCCTTCTGACAGGTAACCTATGATTGTCCCCACTTTGCAGACAACCATCAGTGAGGACGAGGGACCCACTGACCCAAATCCACACTCTAGGAAGTGGTGGCGTTGGGTACAAACCCTCAGGTCACCTGTCCCTGTCCCTTAGTGGTGGGTGGCCCTCACCACAGGCAAACCTCTCATATTTACTTCCTTTATTCCTTGTATGTCAGTCCCGGATGTCACCGGGGTCATGTGCAAATAGTGTATAGATTTGGCACATCAGTGCAGCATGGTAATCCCACAGTTAGAATCAGTTCCACTCTGGTTTGCAAGGCCTGAAAAGTCTATTAATTATATATTCTCCAATGCATAATTGTTTCCGAGTCTTTCGGCACCTCCCTGAGACTTCCTGGCAGCCCTGGGGACAGAAGGTTTCCTCCTTTGGACAGAGAAGGCCCAGAGCTGCCTTCTGAACGGACATCCGGCCCGCAGGAGGCAGAGGATGCAAAGGCCTCATTGTTCCTTGGGTTCAGCTTACCCTTCCCCCAGCTCGGAGGACACTCGTCGCAGAACCCCAGTGACCCAGGGGGGTTCATTTCCCAGCAGTGGGTTTCTTCATTAGAAGGAAGTGGGGTTGTGCCCTAATCTGGAGTCTGGTGTTCTGAAACTGTGGAAAAAAGCTAAGAACACAAGGATAAATAAGCCTGGAATTTGAAAATTCAAATTTTCAAATAGCAGGGCTTGGCTGCTTGCTACTCATCAGTCGCTCTGCAGCCGAGACTGTGTTGCTACTTAATTTGAGTAAGTTTGGTGCCACTGAGGATCGTTGATTTGCGGGCCTGGGATAATGGAACGGTGTTTATCAACCAGCCGTTTCCCACGTCCGATCCCCTGAGCCAGGCCCGGCTGGCGCCAAGGCCCGAGGGCGCCCCGGAAACTCGCGGGGGCGATGCTGGGGCCCGGGCCGTTTGGGCGCCGGTCACGTCTTGGACGCAGACCCGTCGCCGCGGCCCGTGGCCGCCGGGGGGCGCTCGAGCTGCGCCGCCACCGGAGCGGGCCGCCCGCTTCGGGTCGCCGCCGACTCACAGACCCTTCGCGCCCTCCAAGGAAACAAAGTGCACCTTTGTCAGCGACCTGGCACGTGTGCCTGTGAGCTTCAGGGCCAGGCCGATCGCCTTCCCATCCCTGAGTGGCCCAGGGCTCCACGGCTCCTGCCCAACCGTGGCGTTCGCCCTCCGCCGTGGCCTGCCGACTCCGCTTTCCGGGCTTCGGCAGGGCGGGAAACGGGTGGACGGACGCCCGGGGCGTGAGGAACCTGGGAGGAGAAGCAGGAGGCCGGCGCCAGGCTGGGCTGCGTCGCTTTTCATTGGCTAGCCGCGTCCACACAGACCCGAGTCCTTCGTCAGCCTCAGCCCGGCGGCAGACTCCCGCAGCGCGCGCGCGAGTCGGGGACCCCGCACTGCGCGGCGCGGCCCGGAGGCCTACAAGTCCCAGCAGACCCCGCGCGGCGAGCGCCGCGGCCCTAGGCAAAGCCTGGCCTGGCGCCTGCGCAGTGCGACGGCCGGAGCCTGCTAGTACCACACCCCCGGGAGGGACTGAGGGGAGGCAGAAGCATCCGAGGCACTGAAGCATCCGAGGGAGCCGGAGGGAGGAGAATGGAGTGACAGAGAAACGCGGAGGGTGGGGGGTGGGGGGGAGACTGCCGAGGGAGGGGGGAGGGGGGACACGGAGGGAGAAAGACGCGGCGGCGGCGGCGGCGGCGGCTCCTCTGTGCAGAGGGGGAACTCCGAGGGAGCCGAGCAGGAATAATGCGGTAGGCGGCGGGCTCCGGCTCCGGCTCCGGCTCCGCGGCAGCACCCCAGGCGCTGACAGCTCCGCCGGCCGGCTCCCTCGCTGACCGCCGACTGTCAATGGAGCTGGAAAACATCGTGGCCAACACGGTCTTGCTGAAAGCCAGGGAAGGTAAGCGCGGGGCGGCGCGCCTGGCGCAGTGGCCGCGGGCCGGGGCGCGGGCGCCTGGGGCGTGTGGGCTGTGCGTGTGCCGGGTGCCCGCAGTGAGTGGCGGGCAGGACGCCTCGGAGGGCTGCCCTGCAAGTGCTTCGGGGCTTCCTGCCCCGCGGCTCGGCGCATTCGGACTGGGGCAGAGAGGCGGAGACAGCGTGCCGAGGTGCAGGGATTCGGATGCTCGAGTCGCCCCTCGTCTTTCGGCTCTGACCCTCCAGAGCGTGCCATCTCGGCAGCCGCCCAAAGGTCAGTTGCAAAAGCCTTCATTCAGGGCGAGATGGGGAAACAGGCAGAGAACATAGCTCGTCGAGCCGGCCCGGGATGGTTCCGTGAGTGTGAACTGGTGTGTGTGTGTGTGTGGAGGGTGGAATTAGCAGAAGCCAAGTGTTCGCTGGCGCAGGCTGAGTTGATAGAGGCGATTGCTGGAAACCGTCCGCTGGGAATGTTTCTTAGGGAAATCCCGTTGTGTGGAAGGAAGCCTTTTAAAGGCAAAGAGAGATGCTGAGGAATTAGCCTGTTCGTGGAATAACGAAAGGATGGTTGTACGTATCACCTAGAAAATGAGCCAGGATTTCAAGGGTGGGTGGTTTTTTGGGGAGGGGGGGAGATAATTGAACTGTTTGATTTCTGGCACAGTTAAGAAAAAGGATGGGAAGTGTGCTGGCGCATAGATGCATTTAGGTGCATAACCAGTAGATTTCCTGCATCTAGCTGGGCAGGAAATACTGTCTAAATAGACTGGGTAAGATCCTAAGTCAAACCCATAAACACATTTTGTCTCTTCCGTGAGGTTTTTTTTTTTTTTTTAAGTTGCTCAGAAACTTAGATGCTTCCTGAAAGGATTGTGCTGTGTGCGTGTCAACACACATTTAGAACACCTGGAATTTATGTAGCACCTCTTTGCCAAGAGTTGAGCTCTGACGGGCAGCCTTTTTTATGAAAGGAGAAGTGGGTTTTCCTTTTCAGCATCAGTAAGGTCTTGAGTTTAGAAAGGTGCCCAGGCAGCGAGGAGCGGCCCATGAACCTGCCTCCCTGTTAACGTTCTCATCCACCCACTTTGATGAACCACGGAAGAACTTCTAGCCAGGAGTGAAACAATTCCTGCTTGCTTACCAGCCGGTTCCATTACTCCGTGGTTCTTACAAGCTGTGTGGGTCAGGGATGCACCAGCCGGGTTTCAGGCCGGCATTCATGTCGTGATTTTGTCGTCACTCGTGCTCTGAATCAGCCTCCCAGAAGGTTTGCTTTGAAGGCCCCAAAGGAAGGTTGTTGTTGCAATGCTGACTCAGCGAGACCCCGTGAGTTAGAGGGGGCTGCTCATGGGTTTTCTTGGCTGTGCTCTTCACGGAAGCCGACCATCAGCTTTCTTCTGTGGTGCCTCTGGGTGCGTTTGAGCTGCTGGCCTTTAGGCTTGTTGTTAGTTGCTGTTGAGTCGATTCAGACTCACGGCAACCCCACGTGTACAGAGTAGAACCTCACTCCGTAGGGTTTTCAAGGCTATAACCTTTCGGAAGTATGTTGCCAGGCCTGGGACGGTTTGAACCACCAACCTCTTGGTAGGTAGGCCAGCACTTAACCATTTCCACCACTCAGGGATTAACCATAGCTCAGCTTTGGTGTGAACAGATTTTTAAGACAGGTTGTTACTTGGTGACTTCAGGTCCCAACGCCTGAGTTTTTTTTTTTTTTTTATTTTTTCTTCCTCTTAACCTACCCTGACGGTTTTAGCCAGCTGGATGGAGGTGGGGGCTGGTGGGCTGCCTGCACTGGTCAGTGGGCCCTGGAGGAGAGACAACAGTCCAGTGGCTGGAGTTGGCTGTAGCCGGCCACCTAGTGGTGGGACATGGTAGGGCTGCTCAGGGCTTGGGGTCTGGGCCAGTTTTCACCCCGCCTGGGTTCTGAAATGATTTCTTGGGAAATCGCTGTGTGTTAGGGTGCTGGAGGCCTTCACATTTTCCTGATCCCTCCTGCTGCCCAGGGAATTCTGCTCCCCAGACTTGTTCTAGATATTCCTTGGCCTGGGGGATGCTTCTGCACCACTGCCCCCTCACCCCCCAGCACTTGGTGGCTTCTTTTCCAGCGTATTACTCAGAGTGGACAACGTGATATCACGATTCCCCCATTTCCTTAAAGGATCTCGCCGAGGTTCTCACAGAAATGAATTTCCTGCCTGGTATTTTTGTACATCAGGCTAACAAGTCGGATTTCGCAGAGCCTCAGGCGGAGAATGTTGCCGAACTTCCAGGGGGAGAAGAATTACAGAGGTTAAAGTTTCAGGAATGTGCCTTTCACTTTCTTTTCTTCTCAAAGCCTTTTCAGTTTCTCTTGGGGAATTTGGTAGTCCTCTTGGGGTGAGAAAACAGCCCTTGATGACACCTTTGAATGGAGGGGGCCTTGTGCAAGAGCGGCTGACACACATGCCGGACAGTAGTCACTCACCGGAAGCTTCGTTTCCAATCTGTGTCCTCTGCCCTCCCGTGTTCTCGTTATGTCTGGAGAGTGTCCGTGATTTCAAGCGCTTCCCTTTTTTGTCTGGGCCTTTATTAAATATTTGAGCACATCTATTCTAATTGTTGTCGTTAGGTGCCATCGGGTCGGCTCCCGCTCATAGTGACCTCATGTGCAACAGAACGGAACCCTGCCTGGTCCTGCGCCGGCCGCCCAGCCATTGCCAGGCTTGAGCCCATTGTTGCAGCCATGTGTCAGTCTATTTCCTGGAGGGTCTTCCTCTTTTTCACTGACCATCTAATTAGTTAATCATAATAATTAGAATTTAGAAATAAAAACAACTTAATTTTCCTTTCTCAGTTCTAACATATTTGACGTTATTCTTCTAAATCAACTAATTCTCCAGATAGTTATATTTGCCAAATATTCAAGATTGAAAGCTCCAGTCAGTTAATAAATGATCTAATATAAAAATTATAGTATCTTAACCTGAATTGTTTAAAATGCTTAAAAACACTTCTGAAAGATTCTTGTGAATAGTTGTAGATGAGAAATCTAATCAGGGCCAATGTGAAATTTAATTTAGTTCACTTAACAAGATACATTGTAAACAATTTAAAATGTGGCTTTCAAGTACAAGTCACATTTGTCCCAAACAATTGAGAAACAGACCTTGAGGAAAGACAGACACACTTTGCAAACACTGTAAAGGGAACTGTAGTTGCCAGTGTTGGTGGATAATTTCTGGGCCTCCCTTTTGTTATGATTATGCATTCTTAAGGCAGAGGGCTTCTAAATTCATTCTAGATTCAAATTCCCACCATAATGAAACATAGAAAAATACATGTAGCAATGAAAGAGAAACCTGTAAGTAGATTATAGTAGAAAAAGGATTCATGTGGGTTTTGGTGATTAGAGAACATAGCAAGCAAGTTACACCTTGTGACCAACCAAGTGTACTGACGAGATGGATTGACATAGGGGCTGCCATGAAGGGCTCCAGCATAGCAAGGATTGTGAGGCTGGTGCGGGACTGGGAAGTGTTTTGTGCTGTTGTACATAGGGTAGCTATAAAGTTGGAACCAACTTGATGGCACCTAACAACAACAAAAAATATACCAGACACACCGCCACTGAGTCAATTCCGACTCATAGTGATCCTATAAAAAACCAAACCCACTGCCTTGGAATCAATTCTGACCCTATAGGATAGAACAAAAGTACCTCACAGGGTTTCCAAGGCTATAATCTTTAAGAGAGCAGATGCCTCATCTTTCTTCCATAGAGCAGCTGGTGGGTTTGAACTGCTGACCTTTTGGTTCGCAGCCAAGCACTTAACCACTGCACCACCAGGCTCCTTACCTTTGTGACAGTTGTTTTTGAAATAAGACAAGATAGAGATCTGGGTTCAAAGTGTTAAAGCACTGGATGTACTCTGTGGGTGGCTTATTTGTCCTGCTCTCATGAGGAAAACCAACCTGATCACTCTTGGGAGCTTTCAATCACTCTCCTGAAAAGTGATTAAGGGAAAAATGAAAGAAGTTAAGACTGAAGTCATGCTGTTTTAAGGAAAGGAACAAAGTGATTAAGTGTTTAATGAAAAAGAATTTCAGGAATGGTTTAATATAGGATCCAATTCACCTTTAATTGCTGTCAAGTCGATTCTGATGCATAGAAGCCCTATGAAACAAGGTAGAACTGCCCTACAGGATTTCCAAAGCTATATTCTTTATGGGAACAGACTGTCACATCTTTCTTCCATGGAATAATGGCTGGTGGGTTCTAACTGCAGACCTTCTGGTTCTGCAGCCAAGCACTTAACCACTGCACCATCAAACCAAACCAAACCAAACTGACTGCCTTTGAGTCGGATCTGACTCACAGTGACCCCTCCTTGGGTTTCTGAAGCCATATCACTATGGAAGTAGATTGCCCAACCTTTCTTCCAAGGAGTGGTGGGTGGGTTTGAACCGCCTGTCTTTTGGTTAGCAGTCAAATACCTTAGACACTACACCACCAGAGCTCCTACTCCACCGCCAGGGCTCCTTAAGTTCACCTTTACATGAGGGCTATTCAGTTCATACCTGGGAACTTCTAATGTGCTTACGAAACTCTCCAGGATTGTGGACAATATAGTTAATAGTTGTTGCCATTGGGTTTGTGGCTCAAGATAAAGCATTCATAATATCTAGAAATCTCTGAAGTTAAGAAGTCTTAGGGACAAACAGGAATCGTTGCAGTAGATCATGCAATTCAGAGAGGAAAACTGAGGACAACAGAAAGTGACAACCAATGTGTGACACAGAGAGAAGAGAATCAGAAATTTCTTCAGTCCTACTATTCCCAGCCTCTACTCATTTCATCAAAAGTAGTACAGTGAGGACAAGGGGTTCTAAGATGTGATTAAAATGGATTAAAATGGTCTTAAGTAACAGGGATGGTATCTGCTTTAAAACGTCCCGTTACACTCCAGTGAGACAATTTTTACTTAAAAATATTCTCAGTAGTGA